GGGGGGGTGTTCAGGGGGTCGCTGGGTGGTGTGTCTACATAACTTGATCCGGGGGGGCGTGATGGGGAGGGGGGGTACTCATGTTTTGCATGCCTTAGAAGCGGCTAGACCATTGACCGCGCGTCCTCAAGAGGACGGAGCATTGTTCCCACAGGACCGATTGATCACCGATGGCCAGTCGGTCCTTCCTGCTTTGCCTACCGGTGGGGATGATTCTCCTAAACAGTCGTTTGATGCCCGACTACGAATGATTCCCTCATCTCGTGACGGGGTTCCGCTCAACATTCCATTTTCAGTCTTGTACGCGACAGGAGGCGTGCGCAAAGCGAGAACGCCGCGCGTCGAGGACGGCGGCGTCGTCATCAGCACACACGGAGCCCTTCTTCCGAGCAGAATCAACCTCTCCACGCCAAGGACTGACTGCGCGAGTGAAGTAGTTCGTTTCTTTTCCGCGACAACACCCGACCAATTTGTCGACTCGATAGAAGCGGAGAGGTGACACACGTGTTGCTGTAGGTGCGCAAAACCTTCCGGGTTTGCACACCGGCGTGACAGGGACCCCCCCCAACTTCCATGGAGTTCATGAGCCGCCGGATGCTGTTGTCGTCCGACAGACGCCGCCTCGCACAGGCCTTGCGTAGAGATCTTACGGGTGCGGGCATGGTACACGCACGATGATGGTACGCACTGATTACCTGCGATTCAAAGCACGCGTTCGACCCCGCTCCAAAGCTGCCTCGCTTCAAGTAAATAAACACAGCCCACTTCCGAGGAGCGCCAGGGTTGTTGATGGCGGTTTGTCAGGGTCGTCGGACATGTTCATGGTAGGTGGGCATGCTGGGACGGGTAAAACCGCGTACTGCTGTACCTGGTACATTTGACGACAACCGAACCCTGCCGCAACATACCTCACTCACTCGCTGGAACGACTTTCAAAGCGCGATTTCTGCATCATGAAGAGTGGCGTTACCGACATTGGCGGCGTTGGAGCTGTCTCGTCGAGAGGTTTCCCGGAGACATATTGTTTCATTAGTCAATGATGCACCATTTTGATCGTGGAGTAATGGAGCTCTGAAAGTGGGTGCAGGGGATGTGGTATCTTGTGTCATATGCTGCTGTGGGGATAGAGAGTGCGCGAGCAAAAAAAAAAGATTTTGTGATCAGTGATCGTATCTACATGCCACCTACGCCGACTGACGACACCGGTATCAATGGAGTTGGTACTACCGCCAACACATACATCGCATCCAGAGAACAATGCTGGGAGCAGGAGACGGCGTGGAGTCTACTCAGTCAGCCTGTGGCTAGATTCTCCGATGCGCTTGCCATGAGCCAAAAACGCTGCGGTGTGGAGGCTGGGGACGACGATTTTTTCTGGCGCGCACCACCTTCGACTCAAATCGGATTTACATCATCAAGAGCCAACAACGTGGAGCGACACTTGTAGCAAGGGCTGCCATAGAGATCCCATACACCCTCTGTTGCTGAAAACGCACCTTTTTTTGCGGCTATCCGTTGGTGGGCGTGGTGCTGCCAGCACAGCAGTGGTCCCTTCGTTTGTTGATTCACAACAACACAAATACAACACGCACACCGGCTTTTTCCTCCCCTTATTTCCGTCTCAGGGAAAGCTATCCTGGCTGGAAGAGCGGTAGGTTGGCGTGCGCACTAGCGTTTGGGCCGGGAGTGGGAAGCGGGAAGGGCTGATGTAGATGAGTTGGTGTGATCGTGAGAGCCGTCTGGTTCCTCCGTCATGGGGTCATGATCTTTACCTCTTTGGCTTGGAAAGGAGGGGCCATTGGAAAATGTCCCCTCGCAAAAATAAAGCTTCCGTGACTCTCTCGACGGTTTCAAAAGTATTTGATGAGGTTCGACGAGAACAAATTGACCCTTTTCCATGACCCAAGGCTAGGAAGGTAAAGGCTCTTCGACGGCTGCTCAGCCGCGACGGAAAACGTTGTTCCGCTCGCCTAGCGTGAGTCACTACCACTGGGATAGGTTGCCCTCTATGATTTGAGGTAATCTATCGTTCTGCTCTTTGCCTGCTGCAGTACGCCCGACGACAGATACCCGCCCGGTGCAGGGATTACCCAAGTCACTCCTCCGATAGAAGACAATCCTGCCACAACAAACAAGCCGACGTTTTCCCTCTTCCTTTGTGCGCCGCGCGCGTGACGAAAACACAAGTGTTATTGTGTTCTCCTGCCCAAGACGCTATAAGTGGTGGTGCAGCCTACAGCAAGGAGCGGCCGACGGCGGGGCCGGCGTAGAGCAAACTGTCGGCAAGAGTAATGCCTGCGGGGGAGGACGGTGAAACAGCCACCCCGATGGCAGTAGATTCACCTGCACCAAACGCTTCGGCGGCCGCCTCGCCAAGAGCTAGTTCCCCTACCAAGAGCAATGGACCCGTTCCGTCCGCGGGCGGCGGCGGTGGCGGCGGCAGGTCAGTCCTTCCGTTGTCATGCAGCAGGCAGATAGAACGGCAAAGATCTCAACACTTGACTGCTTGTTTGGAGACTTTCTTGAAGAAGGCACTCGAACACCTACCGTAGCCTACACCACTAATTGTTGTTTTCAGACCCTCGGTATGATACAGCACAATAGTCTTGGCCTGAAGTCCAACCTAAACTTCTGTCTATTGTGGTTTTACCCTCCACATGATAAAAGACGTATGAGTACCCCCTGCCTGCTGCTGCCATACATAGCATGCATAGTCTAAGCAGTGAACAAGAGACAGCTTGTACTTGCTGCTCGGGCTGCTGCAACAAAACTCTACGAATGGCTGCAAAAGAATACCAGTGGATATGTTGTGCATGTTGTGTAGAAGTTTCTGCTCGAGTTTGACAATCACCACAAGCTACGAGTCGGAGAAGAGTTCTCCAAGTGAAAGAACCGTAAACATCCAAGTACAAGTCAAAGCTTTCTGTTCTACCTGGTCAACCTCATACAACGTTACCAGCTGGAGGCGTGTTCATGATGCATAACGGACGGCATTTGAATTAGACCAACACCTCATCGCAACGATGCAGACTAGTGTACAACTTTAAGCGCGGAGATGACCTTCGTTAAGGCTACAATCTCCCAACGTCTGTCGAGGACGATTCCCTCTCTTCACAAAAGCATACGAAGTAATTCATAGTCTGGTAGTATAGATAGACTATGCATGCAATCAAACACGAGTCCAGATTCTCTGTTTGACGAACGTCAATGCCCCCCGAAAGGCGAGGCCAGACGTCAAGAACAGATGGGATGCATACACACCCAACGAGCCAAATGATGGTACTACGTACATGTAGGTTCCTTCCGACAAGGAGTAAGCGGCAAACAGGGCACTGAGTTATGCTGTTCGTTGAAAGCGCGCGTTTCGCCGCATTGTCAGTTCTCTCCTCCGTGTGAATTGGTGTCTTCTGCAGGGCACGTCGCTCGAGCTCTGTCGTGGTCTACCCCGAAAAAGACGATGCCGGCAAGCCCAAGGTCTTCGCCCGTCAGTCCTTCGTCGCTTCCGGCGAGGACGAAGAGATGGCCGACACCATCCTCCAGGCCCGCCAGCTTGGTGAGAGGGGCCAACGCTGCGGTCAATAGAGGCTACAATTGAGGTTCTGGTGGTGGTGGCGACGATGTTACTGCGCTCTTGACGCTATTGGTGGGTGCATCACAGCGTTCATGGGCAATGGAAATGTGGAATCGACGACGACCACAACAATAACAACTACGCCGTCAACGATAGTACTACCCCCCTCTCGTCTGAACCCTCTCCTCGTTCATGCGTCGTCATCGTTCAGCCGGCCAGAGACGCCGATCCACCTTCAACGCCCACAAGAAAACCGCCCGGGAGGGGGAGATCGCCCAGGTGGCGCAAAAACTGGCCGCGCGCCGGGACTCGTCTGCCGCGGCGACGGCCAATGCCGCTGCTGGTGCTACCGCCGACACTGCCACCGCAGCGGCCGGTGTTGCGGTGGGTACAACTACCCTTGCAGCTCGTTCGTAAAACTAGACGGTCGTCCACGTACAGTGCTGCCTCCTTTAATAGCAATAAACTAGTGTTACAACCGAGCGGTAGAAGTCTTTCCTTTGCACGCGACAACATTTTGTAGTTTCCAGGTACATTTCGCGTCAGCATCAAGAACAGCAGCAACAGCTACCACCGCGGCAAGATAAGGCGACACCAATTGCTGTGCGGTCCGCGCACCCCCCCCTCGCCGTCGTTTTTCCGACCTCTCGCGCAGGTCGACCCCGCGGAAGCAGGTGCTGTGGCACGACGGAGGTCTTCAGTCATGAAGCTCCCGGACAATGTGAGAACCATTTTCGAGGGCACCAAAGGTTGCACAAGACAACGATAAAGCCTATGATGTACATTGGGGCGTTCTACATGAACCTTTGCGGCGTTATAGTCTATTTCACACGCCCTTGGGATCGACTTTGGAAATTTGACTCCTCGGCAGGAAAAGCAGCGACGGTGGCGAGAACGGCGTCGTTGGGACCGTCTCGTCGAGATCTTTCCGAAAATGCACCCTTTGATTCGGGCTTCTTCTTTGTCGGTTGGTACTCGAGCTTTAAAAATCGGTCCAGGGGGTGTGATATCCACGCAACCTACTGTTATGTATCACTTGCATGTTTGGTCAGCTTCTTGTTCTTCTCGTTGAAAACATTTCAGCTAAAAAGAACTACCTTCCCTTCTCTACCCTCAGAGAGCGAATTTCTCGGAAGTCGCTTCATGATTGGAAAGTGTAACACGTGGCCGGGGTCGCTTGTCGCTGCCTTGGATGCTTTCTTTCTTGCAGCTGCGCGCTCTTGTGCAGCAATCCGACGCCAGCGGGATGCAGAAGAAGACCGAGTCGCCGTACAACCCTCAGGGCGCCAGCGACGACAAGGCTCAGAAGACGACCACAGACAACACCGCCGTGAGTTTCTGCAATACCCATTAGGCTGCAGTGCTTGCTGTTGCTGTTGTTGTTGTTGTTGACGGTCACACCTATCTATACCTCGATACGTCTCGCTACAGAACAAACGATGAGTCCCCAGCATCAGCATCATAATACGGTTACAGAACGACACTATTCACGACTCACGGTTTCAACTACCGCTAGTTCTTTGGGCGCAGACGACAACGACAACAGAGGCAGTAAGTAGCTCCCTCAATCCCCCACCTGTTTGTCCTCCACCGTGGTTGTGCGAGTGATCGCCCCCCCCTGCGAGACCGACTTTCTTGGTTCGAGAGTTCCACAACCAATGGGTGTGGTTGTTATGGGAAGTCGGCCGATAAGCCAAGAAAATCTCTCGACGAGATCGTTTCCAACATGAACGTTGTCGGCAGCTGGTTCCCACTTGGTTGAGGAGAAATTGAGCTTTGAAAGTCTGTCCGAACCGGGTGGCGATCATTAGCACAACATTTCGGTATTTAAGAATCCTGTACTTCCTAGGGCAGGGTCAAGCCAGAGACAGCAGCCCCCCAGTGGTTTTTGGGCGCTATCCTCCGCACGCAATATGGCTCCGAGCAAACTCAACCACGTACGCATCGTTAGATAGTGTCAGTATCCACTGGTTTCGGGGGTTGGTGTTTCGGGTCTGAAGAAAGAGTTCGGCCTCTCTTTCTCTGTTCTCCACGTGTATGCGTCCACTCGGTTCTCTTGGTCTGAGCTTGAACAGATTCTTCTTCCTCAAGATACTTGGCGTTTACAATTTTCGGGACAAGTTGTCACAGAGAAACGACGCAGTCTCTTTCGGAGCAAGGACAGCGGAAGACCGCTAGGTAGGCCGTAGACCCAAGAAAGAACGCCTACTTCATATCAGCGTGGAGACAAATCGTCGGCGACGACCAAACCGCCAGCGACTCCCACGTCACCAAACACTAACAACACAAACAGAGAGTATTTCTGTCCTTGTGTTGGCGAGAGGTCGGTGCCTGCTCTGTGGAAGCACAGGGGTTTATTTATTCCCTACGCCTGGCTGCGGCAATGCACAGAGGTTGCCATGCACACCCTGTACCCCCCTCATCGCGCTTGCTGGTACACCCTTTCGAAAAAAGCAAAAAAATAACGTCGAAACAATTGACGACGGCGACGACAATAACAACAACAACAACAACAACAAGTGGTCACCGCCCTGTACCCCGCCCCGACCTTCGCCGCCCTTGTTTTTACTCCCTGTCGAAACAATACAAAATCAACACCACCAACACCAACAGACGACATCGTCCCTAAACAACACGGGAAGCTCGACCGCAAGCACCGGCAGCACCAGGGGCCGAGGCTGGCTGTCCAACGTCATGGCCTTCATCCGCTGGCACAAGGTGCCGAAAAGAGACAGGAAGACGGCATCTCGAGGAGGCGGGGGCAAGGAGGGGGGCACGCCGGGGTTGTCCCCTACCCCGGGGAAAGGGGGGCTTGGCAAGAAAAGGCGCTCCCTGCTGCCCCAGCAGCTGCCCGAGTTCGCCGGCCGCAAACAGGTTTGCTGCTGCTAGTTGTTGTTGTCGTTGTTGTTGATGTTGTTGTTTGTGGTGGTGGTGGTGGTGGGGGGGCGGTGTTGCTGTCGCCACCACCGCTGACGTCCTTGTCATTATTGACGGTTACGGACGACCCCAATCGCTTGCGTATTGTGCACCCATTGTTGTAGGCTTTGAATTTCGTCGCAACAGACCATGAAGCACAACATCCCCCATTTGGTTCGGGGGAAGCCCTCAGAGAAAGAAAGGTATGTCTGTGAAAATCGACGGCGCTACTCGTCTGACCTACGAAAATACAGCGGTCTCAGTGCGATGGAAGACAGAAAATGCTTCAAATGGCCATGATCGGAAATCCACTTTGAGGGGACGTCGTCGGGGGGGCCAAGATGCTTTCCGGATTCAAAGACAGTGTGTGTGTGTGTTTTAATGTTTAACGATCGCATCGAGCGGCGTGTGCGTGTGTGTGTTTCGCACAGGGACACCGGCAAACCTAATACAAGGTACTGCTCGTGCACGGTGGTAAATCTAGCTCTCGATGTAAAATCAGCCCGCTCCGCTTAACGCCAACAACTGCACCCTAAGGGGCGGGGGTGGGGGTGGGTGTCCCGAGGATTGCACCCAAAGCGGAGGACAGGGGGGGACTTGCGCTAGACAACTACCGGATGTAGATGCGCGTAACGCTAAATTCTGCAATGTACACCGCATTTGATTGAATAGAAGAATGCCAGCGCCACTTGACCCTCTTCGCTGCGTACCTGTACCTTCCTTCTTGTTTCTATCGCAACACGAACAACAATAACAACAAACAACAACAAACAACGACAACAGCTCGTCCTCGACCTGGACGAAACGCTGGTCCACTCTTCGTTTAAGCCCGTGGCGGGGGCGGACTTCATCATGGACATCATGGTGGACGACACCTTCTACAAGGTAAGAAAGCTATGGTGCCCTACGACCTATACCACCGCCACCGCGGCGCCACGGCGGGGGCGTTTTTGTTGAACCGGGGTATAGACTAGACTATACATGCAAGAAATATGGTCTTGAACACATCATTTCATGTCGATAAAGTATGGCACGGCGGTATAGGAGCACTTCGAGGTTATGCCGCCACGTTCTCGCTCCTGTGTAGGGAAAAGGACAGATCGTGAACGGGAAAGGTTTCTCAAGGAGGTACAAGCAGCCTCCTTGTTCTCCCCCCGTTGTCTCGCATACAGTTCACAAGAATATAGGACGGTGTTGAACGCGGAAATCCAAAATCTCGACAACTCGTGTACCGTTGTTGTTGCTGTTGTTGCTGTTGTTGCTGTTGTTGTTGCTGCTGTTGTCTTCTGATTTAAAGCCGTTCTGATCTCTCTACCCAGTACCGTCACCCGTCCGCACTGATCTAAGACTTGACGTGGTCGATTCCCGTGGTGATGGACTGCTGTATCTCACCCTAGTAGTATACTCAACAATATTGAAGGTATGTTACAACGACGAAACAATTATGAATACCTCTGCTGCTGCTGCTGTTGTAGGTGTTTGTCCTCAAGAGGCCCGGGGTGGATGAGTTCCTCGAGCGCGTGGCGAAGCTATACGAGGTCATCATCTTCACGGCGAGCCTGCCGCAGTACGCAAATCCTCTCCTAGACATGGTGAGCGATCAACCGCGATTGGGATGCGGGTTCCGTTCGCTGCCACGTTCTTTCCCTCGGGCAAAGTGTAACTCTGGGGGATCGATGATTGGGCGGGTTGCAATCCTTTGCTGTACTCTGAAAACTCGATGCTGCTCTGTGGAGGTGGGGATGGGGGTAAGCTGGGGGGGCTGTTAGCTTTATCTAGCATCGGCTTCACTCCCTGATTCACCCATGGCCCAATGGCAACTTGCCATTCTTCGCCGGGTGAAAGGGGCAACGCCACCTGCGTTTGTTCGTTTTCCAATTGAGATCGACTACGTTGAATGTGTTCTTCGTTTGTGTCTATCCATCTATCTGTCTGTCTGTCTGTCTGTCTGTCTGTCTGTCTGTCTGTCTGTCTGTCTGTCTGTTTGTCTGTCTGTCTGTCTGTCTGTCTGTCTGTCTGTGCCTGTCCCCACTCTCTGTCTCTCTCTCTGTCACTCTCTGTCTGTCTGTGCCTGTCCCCACTCCCTGTCTCTCTCTCTGTCACTCTCTCTCTGTCTGTCTGTTTCTCTCTTGCTTTTCAGCTGGACCCGAAGGGTACGATAACATCGAGGCTCTTCCGAGAGCACTGCACTTTCCACGAAGGCTACTTCGTCAAGGTGAGCCATGGCAACACAAGAGACGAAATGCTAACAACGTACTCGCGACCGACAGTCAGCACGACCACCCTGAAAATTGACCACAATCTCCTTCTTCCTTCGGCGTCTGTCCTGCACGTTTCCTGTCGTTGAACGCCGCCAGTCAGGCGTATTTGCAAATGAAACCGTCGAAAGAAGTGTCGACCGCGCGCGAGACGCTTGATTTGACCGTGCATTTCCATCTAGGATTCTCGCATCCAGTATTTGACCGACCCCGCACTAGGTCCAAAGAAGGGCCAAGCCTATGCACTCTGTGCCCGATTGCGGCCTACTACGTGCTTTTCTCACGTTTCAACTTTCCACGTTGCGTCAATTTACAAGTCCCGCAAATATTACGTTCCGAGGGTGGACTAGATACCCGTCCTGAACGAAAAATCAATATGGCAACAGCAAGATTTCTTCCTTCCGATAGATGGTATCCCACAACCCACGGTATGTTCCACGAATGCAAGGACGAAGGTGAAGCAGACTGGACCCTCCAAGAGTGTGAAGCATGACTAAATACGTGTGTTGCGATGTATATATATGTGCTCCTTGCTCTTTTCTCTCCATTCCCTTGCTCTTCGCTCGTCACCCCCTTGTGTGTTGCGATGCTCCTTGCTCTTTCTTCCTCTTGTCCTTACTCTTTGCTCGTCGCTCCTTGGTCTCGGCTCCTTCGTTGGCCGGCGCTGCGCCCGTGATTCGCCTGCCCCTCCTACAACTAACTTTCGATGTCCTCAACGCGATCTGTCGGCAGGACCTAACCCTGCTCCGTCACCAGTCGCTGGAGTCAACAATCATCGTCGACAACTCTCCGATGGCCTACATGTTCCAGCCGGAGAACGCCATTGACTGTATCAGGTGCCAATAAGTGTGCAACGAGCTCGAGTATACGTTTGTTTTGTTCTATCGTCCCTCCCCCACCAACCCTTGTGTGAAGCGTTATGAGGGGCAAACATCGGAAAATTGACCTGGGGAGGGACAGGAGGATACTCTTGGATGTCTTCTACTATTCGAAAAAGTTACACCATTAGACAAGTCAACGCTGACTTAGTCTAATGGTGTAACTTTTTCTTATCAAAGATGTGCTCAGAGCTCATTTGCACCCGGCAGGATAACATTTTTGGGTTCGTGAGGGAGTAGGGATCTCCGAGGACGGACCCCTCGCCAGACGCTGCCAGAAATACTTAATGGTGCTTGGGAAAGTGAGCCGCCGGGATTCGAACCCGTGCGTGCATCCTTCAGCACCAAATCTCAAACCATTAGTCTTGTCAGCGCTGACTCGTCTAATGGTGTAACTTTATCGAATATAGGATACCCGCACGAGTTCAAATACCGCCTGGATCACTTTACTTTGCAAAAAAAGTGCACCTAGAACTATCAGCGTTTGGCGAGGGGTCCGTCCCCGGAGACCCCTACTCTCAACCCCAGTGATTAAGCCATAGACCCAAGTGATCCAGGCGGATGCAAATGAGCTCTGAGCATATCTTTTATTCGATAAAGTTATACCATTAGACAAGTCAGCGCTGACTTAGTCTAGACTAGTGGTATAACTTTATCTTATATCTAAGCCGACATGGATAACGTGTCGTCCCCCCCAGTAGAAAACGGAGCGCCGTTCATGCTCTTCACAGCTACTCCTCAGACACTGTCGGGTGCTAATGCATGGCCCGGCCGTTCGTTGTTGACATTGCTAGGCTCGAAATCGCCGCACGTTTTCATACCTAGCAAAAGAGGGGGCGAGTGGAGGGAGGGTGTAAACCCCACTACAGTATCCCGGCTGAAAGCAGCGATGACACTTTTTGTCAGACCTTTTCGTACTCACGCTCGCCCATGCTTGTTTGTTGGTTGTTCTTGTTGATGCGACTGCTGTGCCTTGTTCTGCTTTTATTTTTTCGATGTGAACCGCCAAATAGCTGGATCGACGACAGGGATGACACGGAACTGAACGTGATCGCCGATTTCCTGGAGACCATTGTCGATGTCCCGGTAATGTTTCAATCTTGGTCTCTTCGCCTGGGCCGCTTGCACACTTGTGCGTGCAGTTCTGCCCCCACCGCCGCCCGCAGCCCTTCACCCCGCGCCCCCGTGCGCGCCCGTACCCCGCTATCGCCTTGCCTAGGTTGCCGAACAGGATAGTTCCGATCCCCTGTCAACAGTTACAAGGGAAGAACACGCAATAACGCTTTGACTATTCCTTGTTCTCGGTTGCTCTGGTGGAGGGTGTTGTCGTGGTTCTCCTGTTGCAAGATGGCAGTGGCCCTTTTCTTGATGGCCACTGCCGTCCCCTGCGGGGCCGACTCACGTTGTTGTGGTCTGTTCAAAGTTTCCCCCTTATACTACTGCGCGTTGCTCACCATCACAAGGACGTGCACAGAGAGCAAGAACAGAGCAAAGCGTGCAACAGTTACCCACCATCTTGTCTGGTAATACTCGTTCTTGTATTAACGGGAAACTGCCTGACTTGTTGATGATGGATGTACAGGATGTCCGCGACCTCTTGGAGTTCTGGCGAGAAGGGGCCGCCGTTCTGGACAACATTTCCTCCTGATTGATCTGAAACTGAAGGTGGCTCATATGATGATCGATCTGCTGCGGGGTCCTAGAGAATAATTGTATCGACATCTTTTATGGATGAGCGCAACTGGAATGTAAACAACCCCCCGACAGGATCTGCCATCTTTTGTGGCGTTGATCCGCGTAGATTTGCGAAGAAAGGGTTCAGGGGCATCAGGCCGCCAGACAGACACAAAAATGTGTACCATCGCACCACACAGGGGAGGAGTGAGGAGGGGGGATGCCATGAAGGGGGCCGCGGAGTACATCGCATCTCAGGATTGAGAGCCGGGTTAACCCCCTACGGTTGACCCACCTCCGTCAGCAGCAGTGCTATTCGGTACCAGTCAGTGCGCTCAAGCTGAGGTACACACAGCAGTGGGTGGTCATGACGTGGAGAGTTCATCGGGTACTGCGGAATTTCTCCGTGTTTTTTTTCCCGGGGAGAGGAAGGTGCTCCCGTATCCACATGCAAAACATATAGTATATCCAGCGAAAAGCGCGATGCAGAGGAGCAGCAGCCCGGGCGTTTTTGCTACGGTTGTCTTCCGAAAAAAAAATCGTTACATGATGACCATATCTCTGTCCAGGGTGCCCGAGTTAACTCTAGGTCATCTCTCTTGAAGGGCTTGGTAACAGCGTTTCGTAGACTCGAGGTGAAAAATTGAACATCGGGGTTGCAGACGTATGCGGGGGTGCTTGCTTTGGTTGGTTGTTCGACAGGTATAAAAATTCACTAGACGTAGGCCTGGGAGTGAGGGGGGAGGGCCGAGCGGTCAAGACATTTGCGTTACTTGAAAACTTGTCTAGCAAGGCGTGTGCATCATGCCACCCGATTGCAGAATAGATTGGGGAGTGTAATGAGCGAGATATATTTTCTTCAGTTCGTTGGAGGCCAACAACAAGCAAAAGAAAAAGTAGCACCGAGGCGCTCGTCTGTTTGAGGAAAAATACAACCAGAGGCCAAATAATCCTCTCGTTTTCCTAGTGGTTTGCCAGCCCCAGGCGCTGCTAAAACAAAGGGCGGGCGGCAGCCAGAGGTTCCGAACTTGATAGCCCAGATTCTGTTGCTTTTAGGCATGGGTCTCTACCGCATGAACCCGTCCATGGTCTCCCGCTTCCCTCTCAGAAACAATAATCGCGAGAGACCACGCGAACTCGTTCAATTGCGTTGGTACGTGCTTGCCAACTCAAAACATCTAGCGAAGACGGCGGTTCAGTTTCAAACCCGAAGTCGCGTTAGACTACACGGTTTGCAGGAATCAAGTTGGGAGCGATGTCTACCAGAAGCCCCGGCGACCAATGTCTGGATTCTGCAAGCATCGTCGCTGAAAAGACCGACGACCCAATGACGCCATTTCTTTTTTCTGCCTCATCTAAGCTGAAAGATGTGTTACTTTTTCGGACTCCGGACCAACTATATCTCGACTCGGCGACAACCAGGGCGGACCTACTTCTTCGAGTCAAACTACGCGCGACAAACCCACTTAGGGATGGAAGCTTGCAAATCGAGCTCTTGGGTTACAGTTCTACACATGACACATTCGTCGATTTACAGCCTGACACAGACAAAAGCAGCCTTTCTTGTAGGTCAAACACAGATGGCAAAACCACAACTAGCCCATGCTCCTCCAAGGCAGGTGACATCCGAGCCCCAGCCACGACACCTCCGCGGCGGCATCAGCTCATGTCCATGCTGTCCTCCGGAACCTTTATCAACATCCCCTCCAGGTCTCTAGTGACCTTGATCTGGCATCCCAGTCGCGATCTGGAAAAAACGAGAGCAACAAACAGGCCGGCAGCGTAAAGAAACGGCGGGAAAAACACACACACAGAGTGAGCGTGTTCGCGTTTTGATCCCGCTGCACGACTGACGTATTTTTCTTCGACCAGCCGGTTAGCGCGGTCGATGCTAGTTGAAAAGAGAAAGGCACACGAGGGCCTACACAGGACGATCGAGCGCAAGAAAATAAACGTGCACAAGGGTGTAGCTGGAGGTACTGCCCCATCCTGTAAACCCATGCAGAAATCGGGCGGGAAAGTAGATTGGGGTTTGGGTTACTCGGCTTGGTGGGTGATGACCCTTGTCTCTGTGGGCGTATTGCTGCAAAAGAGGCTCAAAACCGTACGCATCGCATTTACCACGGTATGCAACACAACGACCGCAGCAGCGATAGCACAGGGTGATGATGGCACAACAAGAGCACCTAGCAGCAGCAGCAGCAACAACAACAACAGGAGCAGCAGCAGCAGGAGCAGCAGCAGCCACAACGACAGCGACAGCAACCCAACAGATAATTGCTTCTGGTGAACTCACGTATCGGTTAACCCCCACGCCAGGTCCAGCATATCATCCTCCTCCTCCTCCTTCTCGTCGAGCTTGTCGTAGTACTCCTTGGGCAGCACCACGTGGCACGTAGAGCAGGCAAGGTCCCCTCCACAGGCACCTGTATTTGAACCCGTGGACCTTCTGCGCTTAGTATCGTCCTGCTGTGACTGTCGCCCTCGCAAGTAGTGCTGCTTCTGCTGTTGCCGCAGCCGCAAGGAGTAGCTGTTGCCATCTTTGTCATTCTGTTTCGTCAAGACTAACATCGAGCGGTCGAGAGACCCACAGATTCCGCTCGTGCTTTAAGCGGCAATTGAGCCCTGTCGCAAAAAGAAGACAAGAAGGGCCGACTGCGGTTCCGAGATCTTGGGAGATGGCGAAGATCTGAAAAATGAATATCCCGCGTTCGCGTGGAGGCCCTTTCGAAACATTTCGCACCCAGCGCCGGCGACTTTAAGCGTAGCTCTGGAAACATCTCTACCTGGGTTTGATAAAGGCAGCATGGAACCGGTGTGTTGCTTTCGCTACGTCAGCTACGTCATAGAAGTACGTCACATCGACGTCCATCAGGCCCGATCGCCACCAGACAACGGAAGAAGGCCAACCACGGATCAGTGCACGCAAGCACAACCTTTCAAATTGGTCGGCAACATTGCTGCCTGTATACCCACAACTACTGGGTGCACACAACACAAGAGGAAACCCCACCTTCTAATTCGACGTCGTTTTCGTGGGCCACTTCCAGCAGGGTTGCACCAAGCTCGGCCTCGACCTTGATCTCCGTGCCATCGTCCTCGAGGAACGTCATGTTCACCTTGTCTTTTCGAGCGCCTGGAAATCGATTTGGCGAGGGGAGACAGGCACAAACAAACCATCATCGACGCAGGAAAGAAGGATTGCGAAGTGGCTGTCGGTGGTTGATGGGAAGGGGCATGGACAGGGAGAGCTATGTAGTTGCGTGGCAATGCTCGCTGCAAACTACTTACGCAGAAGCTGAACATTACGCTGCGAGTCCACTGCTGAACATCTACCGATCTGTTTGATGCTCGAAAATGCACAGGTCGCACAGCAGTGGCCGGCGTCAGTGGATATCCTCGGTGGTCCGTAGTCAAGTGTGCTAATCATGAAATTCACAGCAGCAGCAACACTTTACAGCAACAGCAGCAACAGCTTGCGCTGGATACTGGGCACACACCTGTGCTGGAGATTCCCCGGCGACACTTCTGCGGCGAAACTAATGCTGTTGTTCTGACGGTGAACGTTTCTGCCGCAAGCCTCGACGCAGCTGATCGGTCAGCACCAACAGAACGCGGCAGCCCCTTCCCCAACCCCAACAGTCGCCATCTTGGCCCGGCATTCGAGGACACCCTTCTTGCTACTAGCGCCATGGCGATGCTGGATGGTGCTGCACGGCAGTTGTTGGCGTGACTCCTGCCTCCTGGATCCTGGTGCTGAGGGGGGCACGCAGATTGATAGTATTGAGCATACCTCATCACGTACGCTCAAGGCAGTCACAAGGACACTGGCTGTGGCTTTTGGTCTGCACATCCGCCTGCCGTCTACATCAACTTCAGTTTCTGACTTCTCGGAGAGGGTCGAGCAATGCAGCCATCACTGTCGTCTCTGCCATCGTCTCCGGTAGATCCTCTGGACTGGGAGAGGGTAATCGGCCCGTCGTGCTGCGTGTGCGGGCAGGCGTACATTCCAGCAGCCGAGGTCGACGACGAGCACATCACCGGCGGCGGCGGCGGCGGCGGCGGCGGCGGCGGCGGCAACGGCAGAAAGCACAGCAGCCCTTCGTCGCGACAACGAGGCGGCGGCGGGGCAAGGAACGGGGAGGAGAGCTACGTGGTGCTGCCGGACTCGAAGCCCGTGCTCTCCGAGGACTACTTCACCCTCGCTCGAAATCAACGCCATGCCGGCGGCGGTGTTGCCGCTGCTGTGGCATCATCGTCTCTAGCGGGAGGCGCGAGACTAGCCGGCGCTCGGTCGCAGCAGGCGTCCGGCCCTGGCATCGGGAGAAGCGTCGGCGGTGGTTCGTCGCTGCCCCCGGGGTCCGAGCTCCTCGAGTCCGGGTTCTCGGCGTACGACGGCTCGGTAGTAGGGTTTGGAGGCGGATGGACGGGATCGGGATTCGGGGCGGGGTCGTCCATGCTCGACAGCATCGTCCAGATCTCCCACGCTGGGCTCAGCGACAACGTCCGGCGGGAGTCCCTGCTGTACGACATGTCCCAGCGGCCCGCGCGACGGTTTCGGGCTGGAGAGCAGAAGCTTCCAGCTAGCAAGGACGGCGCTTCCGCGGCTCAAGTCGACGGCGGCGATGATGAAAGAGGCGGCCGTTTGTCCCAGCGGCAACCGGCGGACAGCGAAGAAGCAGAGGGGCAGGAGGAGTCCGACGACCCGACGCTCTGCTGCCACTGCTACGCGTCGCTGCTGGAGCAAATAGACGAGGACAGCCGCCTGGCCGACCGGGAGGCCCTGGCGTACCGGGACTTCGTCGAGACCCTCAGCGGCATCATCATCTCGGAAGATAACGGCCTCGAGTCGGCCGGGCCCACCGCTCCCGGCAGAAGAAGAAAGGCTGAAGGCTTTCCAGCAGCAGCAGCAGCAGCAGCAGCAGCAGCAGCAGTACATCGCTCTCCTCCCGCTACGACACCACCAGGAGAAGGCGCGGCGGACTCGACGCGGCGCGAGGGTTCCGACAGACAGGAACACGCTAGGAAGGAACGGGGGCGGAGCCTGAGCAGCGGAACTAGCCCCGCGTCCTCCGCTTTAGCTCCTTCTCCGGGCACCGTCAACGTGCAGCAGCAGCAGCAGCAGCAGCAGCAACAACAGGACGAAGATGACGATGGAAGCGCGGCTGGGCCGGCGGCGTCGCCGTTCGCGCAGGCGCTGCGGATGGCCCAGGAGACGAGCGTGCAACTGAGGAGGGAGCTGAGGTCCCTGGAGACGCAGAGGGGGGCGCTCTGCGCGCGGGGGTCCGAGGCGTGGGCGGCGCTGTCGGAGCTGGCGTACGCGCGGGGCGTGCTCGAGGACGAGTGCAGGGAGCTGTTGCAGGCCTCCAGAGAGGTATGTATGCTTGTGTCTTTGTTATTAGCATCGATCGCGCTGATCGGGTGACCAATGAAAAGACGTTAGCCTCAGTGCGGTTATGCACACAACACTTCTAAATGCCATGAACTGGGACTCCGTGAGGGGGTGGCATGGCGAAGACTAATCTATTCTCCGGATCAAAAACAGACGGTGTGTGTGTTTGTCCTTATTATTTGCATCAAAAACGTGCCTACCGACTGGCCAATGAAATGACATGTCAGGCTTACAACGGGAAAAAAACGCCAACAACGCCAACACGCTCTCTGACTAAATAAGGGTTTGACCGACAGCTGGGACGCAGAGGTTGGACGACCGTGTGCTTGTATCTTTGTTGCTTTGCATCGACCGCGCCTACCGGCTGACGAACGAAAACGCGTCAGTCTCAGCGGCTACGAATCGAATCGATTCGCTTGTTGCGAAAAGCGCGCGAGGGACAAAAACGAGGGGGCACTGCTGTCCCCCCCCTGCTTTCCCAGCGCGTGCGGAATTGAAAGATGCTTTTGTCCGCGATTCCCACCCACAGACAAACCCTCATCGTCTTCACTCCATTCTCGATGCCAAATAGATAACACGCGCGGTTGCTGCCAGGTGGCTGAAAACGCGGCGCATCTGTCGGAGCGATCGGCTCTCAGCGAGCTGTTCTCGATCCGGCACGTGGACGGGTTTCCGTCGATAAACGGTTTCCGGCTGGGTAGAGCTCCCGACGACAAGCGGCGGCTGCACTGGAACGAGATCAACGCGGCGTGGGGAGAGGTGAGCGGCGGCCCCTATCGACTGCCTTGCACCCCCGAGTCAAAGGTGTGGATCGGTGGAGTAGGATGTGTGCACAGCAATAGGCAGCCCGATTTAGCGGCAACTTGAGAAGTGTAACTGCCGATCGTGGCACCAAAATCTCTGGTGACAATATCAACATGTAGATGAACCCGATAGCCTCTATGGTATCGAAAGTGTCACTGCCCTGAATAGTGGCATATTCTCCTCTTGCCGCTACATGTCACTTATGTATTTATCGGGCTGCTTACTGTAGGAGTAGAACTAGAACAACGGCCTCGACACACCGCATTTCTATGCATACATGGTTGGACCGCAAGAGAGTGCGGATGCACACACTCAAAGGAGGACTGGGCGGGCACTCGCCGGGGTGGTTCCGCGGGGCTTCACAGAATCAACATGCGGTTTGGCCACGCTCGCAACAGTGACACTGCTGTTCGTGCTCGCAGGAACAGACCGCCCATTTGGACACCACAAGGCATTGGTGGCGATGCCGTCGGAGGCCGTTGCTTGCTCCTTCTGATGGGGGTCTTGGGGGTCGTATTCACTGCTGTAGCAAGAGGCAACAACAGCCAGAAAATATAAATTGGAGACTCAGTATAGTCGTTGCCACGAGAGCGACAACAGCCCTACAGCCCACGTCGCAGGGCACGCTGGGTTTGCAACATGCCCACCACATACCTTTTGTGCGTTTGCCACGGCCGTGTCTCAGATCCTGCCTCCCCTTCACACTTCTTGCGTGCCCCCTAATAATTCCAGGCTGTCCTCCTGGTTCGCTGCGTGTCGAACGCGGTAGACTTTCGCTCCAAGCGGTTCCGGCTGGTGCCATTGAACTGCACTTCCAGGGTGATCGAGGTGCGGCAACGTAACTCTTCGCCGAACGAACCGTCGAGAGCATGTAATTGACCAGTGTCGGGGAAAATAGCGCCGTTACTGCAGCGAGGTGTTTTTTGAGACAAGGCTACTTACTGTAAGCACCCCGAACGGAGGATGACTCCTCACGCGAGTTAAGGCTGAGTGGATAGAGGGTCTGCACGCGCGCACCGCGCGCGTCCACCCGGGACCTCAAGCTACCCCGACCACTGTCGTAACTTTTCGTGGATGCCGCGAAACACCCATGTTCTTAGGTTGTTCCTTCTTTGCGGTCCCCCCCCCTCCCCCCCCCCGCGCGCTGCCATGTGTATCCCCTCCCCGACTGACCGTCGGGCGTTTAACCGACGGCAGCTGGCGAGCGGAGACAACAGCGGCGGCCGGTCGCAGGAGGACGGGGTGGGTCGGCGAGGGCATGGCCCCGAACCCACCGCCGCTACCTCGGTAGTGGTCGTGTGCGCGCACGACCTCTTTTCCACCGGCGGCGGCGGCGGGAGGGGCGGCGGCCGCAGCGGCAGCGGGGAAGAGAACCTCCGGCACCTCGCCGCCGTCCGAGCCTTCCTCGCGTGCTCGGCGGAGGTGATGGCGTTCCTGGAGAGGCGGGTCCTTGAGCGGCGGCTGGAGGGCGAGGTGTCCGCCGGGGCCGCCTGCGTGGCGTGGTCGGACGTCGGGGTGCCGTACAAGCAGACGGAGGACGCCGTCGGCGGGGTTTCCATAGGCGCGCTTAAGGGCCAGGGGTCCTGGAAGCCGTGGCTGTGCCAGCTGGTGAAGAATTTGGAGTGGGCGGTGGGCGCCGCGTCCTCCCTCTGCGTGGCGTAGGTTACTGGAAATGCCGCCTTCACTATTTACCGCGCCGCACGCATCATGGATTGTCTGTCTCACGCACTACACCCCGAAAATCTCCGTTCTTCAAGATTATTTTCCCCCGAGCTACCGGGAACCAGATGCTTGTCGCAGTCTGGGTGGTGGCGGTAGTGGTGTGGCTGGTACCTTGCACTGCTGCTTGTACGCATGTAAATATAGCTTGCCGTGGACCAAGGCTGCTTCCCGAATTGGATTTTGATTTGTCGACGACAGGTGAGCCGTAAGGCTTAATGCGGGGATGGTCACGCGCGGTGCACCACTAAGAAGCAACGGCGTGCAATCTCAATAGGGTTTCTGTCGCATGTCCAAAAAAAAAAATCAAGTTTGGGTTTCTTAGCCGCAGCAGAAACCTTAGCTTGCTGTTTCGGGATGTGATTTTTGGGAAAACAGCCGAGAGATGGAGACACGCTCCCTATCCCCGGCGCCTGGCCGTTTGGTGTGATGTTGTATTTGTTGGATGTGTTGTTTGTGCAAGTTCAACGTGTGTGAGAAAGAGGAACGATCAAAATAGCGATTGGATGTACATAAGTGCAACCAAAGCATGCCGAGAAGCCCGCGTGTGGCGTCCAAAGTGAAGTTTTTCGTCTTCGGTTTGTCTCAGGGGATGTAAAGCAGGGAAAGTTGTATGGGGGAACGGCAGGTGGGAAGAATGAATGCTACGGTACGGGGTCTCTTGTGCGGCGTTCGGCGGAATTCGGTTGGAGGTATGATCCGTTCGGGCAAATATTCACAATATTTTCCCCTGCACAAAGGTGCACTTTTCTTGGGGTGGGGGTACTTAGGGCCGTTTTAAACTGACCGACTTTTTGTCAAAATGTTTGAAAGTGTCAAAAAAATGGAACCTGTATGTAGGCGTTTGTCCATATTTTTTCAAAATATTTGGAACGAAGTTGGGCGCGAAAACTTTGCTCCACTTCGTTCCAACTTTTTGACAACCCTCTCAAAGTATTTGGAGCACTTTCCAAAGTACCCTTGCAGAGGCACGCGAGGGCTGCTGCGTCTGCACCACGAGTGCCCCTCACCGTAGAAAGTCAGCTAGGGTTGTGTGTGGGTCATGGCCGACCGTAGAAAGCGCGGCGCGCCTACAGATTCGAGCGGCTCTCCTCGCCCACGGGCACGCGCAATACAAAAAAAAAAAACGGCGGTCCGCCATGATGGCTTGCAGTTGTTGCTTCGCGTCCGCCGCTTTGTTTTTTCCTTTTCCCGGGGGGGTAGGAGCAGTGGTTGCCACCCCTCGCCGGCGGAGTGTTGGTGGCGGCAGCGCCTCCCGTGGTAACATGAGTGTTCCCCGAGATGCCAGGCAGCAGCACTATCTTGCTGGAGAGCAAGCCTCCACCGCCTACGGCGGCACCGAGAGAGCCCGTCTGCTGGAATTTCGCCGGGGTTTTGGTCTGCCGGCCACGCTGGGTGGTCGTGATATCCATGTCGGTGTCCATGATGT